TACTTTGGACTGCAGAATCTCCCTGCATCACTAAAGATAACTAATAATCCAGATAAGCTTAGGTGTCTCTTTTTGTTCAATCCAGGAGCTGGGATGTATATGGAGTATAATATGGGCGATCAAGTGCCACACAGCATCTTGTGCCAGGGGTCCCCATCAGTCGTTCTGCCACATGTCCATGTTAAAGACTCCACCATATGTTAGGGGATATTAATATATATCACGTGTTTATCAAAGTGGTTTTTTGTGATGTCCAAATACCGCTGTCTTAACACCCACCATTCCAACCTCTTTGTAGCATGTATAAAGCTTGTGATTTTGAATTGAAAGAGCTGGCAAATTCATGATACCTATGAATTGTTCAGTCAATAAAGCAAAGATTCTATGACTCAAATTTAACCCTCCTACCTCATCATATAACCTCATATCTAATTATTTCATGGTTTTATCAAACCATAATCAATACTGTATGTTCAAATAACGACCATCCCAGACTGGAAGGAACAGAGGTTACTTCAGCGTGAGTTGGGGTACATGTGTGATAAAGTGTCTCCACTGTCTATGGAGAAATACACTGACAGTGCTTGCTGTTGTTGACTTCTTATGGGGAAAACCATAACACTGGCATGAGGAAAAGAAAGGAGCCGATTTCTTCTACTTTGATTGAAATATAATTAGCCTTAAAAACTGATTTCTGGTTTATTTTCTTTGTGTGCAGTCCCCTACTCATTCCTAGAACATTGTTCTTGGGAAATCACAGGGAAAGAATGATGCTGAGAGTAAATTCACAAACCAGGCTATTTTTCCCCTTGTAATTAAAAAAAAAAAGTTCATTTCCAGGGAGTGTTATGGTTAAGAGCATAGATTTTGGATACGTATGAGGCAGTACTATAACCTTTGTGTCTTTAGTATTCTTACCTGAAAAATTGGGAGAATAGTTTGATTATGTGTCTATATATTTTTATATCAAATAAATTAATAAGTATGGGATAGTAAGAACAGGCCCAGGTATATGGTAAATAACCCTTGACTGAATTATCTACTTCCCTCATTCATTTCTTTGCTTCCTGCCCTTTGAGGATATGTGAATATCTGCAATGACTCAAAAAGTCCACTAGATGTCACTGTTTCCTCTTAGGAAAAAAGATCCATATTTTACTAATTACATTTTATGACAGAATATAAGTTAAAAGAAAAAGAAAATGGGACATTTCACCACTTTGATTATTTGAACGCTTTGGAAATGGTATTTTCAAGGCCTTATGAAAAGCTCAAACATCCTCCTAAGAAGTATGCTAATACATTATTCTGCAAAAATGTTGTTATCCCCTAAAGAAATGTAATAATATAAAATATGTTTATTTTTATAGCATAGACTGGAGGGCAGATTGTAAAATAAGGTTAATCCATTTACTTATTCATAAAGTAATTTTTAAAAATTTGTTTTATGGTTGGAAGCCTGGACAGTTTGAGACTATTACATGAAGACCCATTCTAGATGTTGGTTTTATTACTTACCTAGCAAACCTATCTGGTTAGGATACAACTGAGAACCTAGAGCTAATTTTTTAATGCAATAATACTCTAGATTTTGCAGTCTCAGAACCTATTTTCTCTTATTTTACAAATAATTGTAAAAAGCTAGAGATTTTATGTCTCAATCTACAACATATCAGAAACAGAGATGGAGAAACTTTGAAGAAATAGTAGCTGGCAGTTTAATGATGAGGAGAGAGAAGTTTAAACAAATGTAAGAAGCAGTCCATAAATCTCAGAAGTCATCACATTCTGAAACTGTTTAGTGACATATGACAGGCTTTAAGCCTGGGAACTCATACTGCTGTTGTTATAAATATTTTGTAAACTATCAGGAAAATGAGTAAACTGTATGGATTATAGTTTCAAAAGGCAGCGATGTCTGTAATACATTTTAGAATGATTTCCCTGCAATTGGCTACAAGTCAGCAAAGTTTAGGATTTTGGAGCTTAAGTTTCATGCAGCATAAAGGAGTTCTACCTTAATAAATCCCATTGGGCAGACCTGCTTTGAGGGGCATGTCGTTGGTGGCAATGCTTCTGCTCTCCTCTGTTAGCTGGTCTGATCCGTCCCTGGAATTTGCCACTCTACTTGCTGACCTGGAAGACTGTGCCCGCGATTGCTGCTGGCAACGCTGTGGTAGCCAAGCCCAGCGAGCTGACTTCAGTGACTGCATGGATGGTGTGCAAACTCCTGGAGAAAGCAGGTAATTAGGTGTTAGAGTTTGAAAGAGGCACAGGAGTGGCTTTGGGGGCATATGTTTTGTAGGCTTCAGCTCTCTTAGGGTCACTGACATCTGAAAAGTTATTTTGGATAGAAATCTGCTCAGCAGCAAAGTAGATTCCAGTGCTGTCTTTGGTTTTTGTTTCCCTGATTTTTTTCTGAGAAATGCCCTTCATCCATGGGGTTCGCTCACACGGCTTCCTCTCTTGAACCCAGGATGGTGCTGCTGCTGCACAGTTCCTCCCTGCAGGGGTCGGCTGGCAGTACTGCAGGAAGAGGGCATGCAAGAGGAGTATAATGGCAGGCTTAAGAGCCTGAACAAATCAGGCTCCAGCCTGCTCCAGAGAGTGTCCTCAATAGTCAATTTAAATCTTAACGTTTGAATCACAAGTTAACCTTGATGAAAGTAAGACTATTGCTAAGCAGTTCTCTGGTTTGCGGAACTATAGAATACCTGATAAACAGAGTCTGTTTTCGAGAGAATCGAGATGCTACATCCTTCAGTTTTCCCTGCATTTGGAACTCTTACTTGGATGCAGGTATAATGTAGCTTCATGTCCTCTCTTTGCTAGTATTGTAATGGCCACGTTTAGGGTACATGCGTGGTTTAGTTCTAGGGTGTTCCTGATGCTGCATGAGAGTTGGGAAATAACAGGCAGGAGTCCATAGCTTGTCCTCAATGGGAAAGCCCCTTGCTGTTAAGTCCCTCAACTTGTGTCTTTGCACAGCCTGGTTAGGAATGGTGGGTGGGTGGCAGGAAAGAGGCTGTCTTTCTGTCTCTGCCAGTCTCCACCGTGCCTGCTTCCTTCAAGCCCACAGAGAAGGTACTGCCGGGCTCACCCATATCCACTGAGTGGGTAGTTGTAAAGAGCCCATCTCTCTCTCCTGATACCTTTCCTCTCAAAACAAAAACATTCATATTGGCTTCCAGGAAAGTTGAGTCAGTTCTTTACTCCAGAATGACAGGTTAAACCATGCCTGTTAGCAAAAAGCACCAGGCCTTAAGATTCCTGTTTAGCCACTCATTACCCCGTGTGCTAAGAGGAACGAGACCTCCTCTAGGTCTTTGGTATGATGTCTATGGATGCGCTAGGCCTCAAGAGGGTGTATGGTATGAACATGCCTACCTCTTCCATGTCCCGGAGTGTGTTACCCTTCCCTTACACAAGGGATCACGATCTGATCACATTCTTTACAAAACTGAGTCTCTAGTGTCTGCAAAGGTCCAAAGCATTTCTTTCCTGCCTTTTAACTGCAGTTTCTCTTGAGTGAGATAGAAATGGAGCCTAACTCCTGCTTTGACCTGTGTTGGGGAGGATGCCATGAAGGTGGGGGCGGGTGGGGGGAGGGTGTTGCTGCAGAGTCATGTTCCAGAGAATACTCTCTCCTAAAATGAACCGCATCTTGATCTACGATGATTTCTCTCTCCTAATCACTCTCCCTGATCTTATACCCCAGTATTTGGTCTGCATGAAAGCTTTATGTCTCTATTTATTTGCACAGCATTGATCTTTCTGTGAATGACTAAGCTTATGACATCAAGGCAGTCCTTCACTTTTTCCCTCCCAAGCCTAGCATTGCCAAACTTTCCTCCTCCGACAAACATTGAGAGTACAATGCTTAACTTGCAGCTTCTAAGCCCCCAGATTCTCTACCACTTGACTCACATCTACATAATCTTGCTTTAGAGCACTGCGAGAGAAACTTAACAGTGTAGGG